TGGCTCCTCCCTCCCTTCCTCCCACTCCCCTCCCTTTCCCTTCTTCCCCCTTCCTCCTTCCCTCCCTTCATCCGTTCCTCCCTCCATCCTTCCCTTCGTCTGTGTCTATGTCTGTCTCTTTTTATTTCTTGGCCTGTCCCTGGTTTCTGTATTTATGTGTGTGTGTGTGTGTGTGTGTGTGTGTGTGTGGTGTGTGTGTGTGTGTGTGTGTGTGTGTGTGGTGTGTGTGTGTGTGTGTGTGTGTGTGTGTGTGTGTGTGTGTGTGTGTGTGTGTGTTTATCCGATTTACAACCTAAAACAATAAATGAAGAATAAACATGGACAGTAATAAAAAGAGAAAATAACAAAAAAAAAAACAATATATAAAATGAACGAAAAAAGTAAATTTATACACGAAGAAAAAACATCCACTAAATAAACAAACCAACAACAACTCTACCCTAAAAGTGACGGAACTGTGAATGAAAATAAAATCAAGGTTAGGTTAGGTTAGGTTAGGTTAGGTTAGGTTAGGCAAAAACATGGTTCAAGAGCGTGAGAATGGGTGAGCAACAACTGGCCAACGAAACTACTTATTTTAATATCGCGTCAAAATAAGCGAAACTGTGTTGGTTGAGTAAATACCTCGTCCTCGGGCGCCTCTGCGCCTTCTCCCTAAAGTGCCGCACATCACCGAGAAATTATACGAACAAGACTATAATCTGAAGCTGAGAGAGAGCAGCAGATGCGGGTACGGACTCGCTAATGTCCCGGCCGTCTTACCCGAGACTGTGTGGCGGTGGGGGAGGGGGTGGTGGAGGATGGGGAGGGAGGAGGGGGGATGGGGACGGTGGGGAGAGGGAGGGAGGTGGGGAGAGGGGTGGGAGAGGGGAGGGAGGTGGGGAGGAGGTGGGGAGGGAGGGGGAGAGGGAGGAGTGTGGGGGAGGAGTGGGGAGGGGTGTGGGAGAGGGAGGAGGGGGAGAGGGAGGAGGTGGTAGGGGGAGAGAAGTGGGGGGGTGGGGGGAGAGGAGGTGGGGAGAGGGAGGAGGTGGGGGAGGGGTGGGGGGAGGGGTGTGGGAGGGAGGAGGGAGAGAGGAGGGGGGGAGGAGGTAGGGGGAGAGAAATGGGGGAGAGGAGGGAGGAAGGAGGGAGTTGGGGAGAAGTGTGGGGAGGGGGAAAGGTTGGGAGAGGGGGATGTACTGGCACACACATAAACGTTAATGTTCTCATACTGTTACATCTCTACCAGAGTATATAGTGAATTGATCTGGAGAGAGAGAGAGAGAGAGAGAGAGAGAGAGAGAGAGAGAGAGAGAGAGTGTGTGTGTGTGTGTGTGTGTGTGTGTGTGTGTGTGTGTGTGTGTGTGAGACTCGTGTTTTGCCCGAAAAAAATTAAATATAGAGATACAATAACACATGGCCAAACATAAGGCATTTTAATAGAAATACTTAACATATTAATATGAAAAAGTTGTTCTTATTGAAGGTTCGCCACGGGTTGTGTCGCCGCATCTATTTGTTATGAAAAATCTCCAAAATAGTTTATAAGATTATTTTTTTTTTAAACGCCAATCCTCTGAAGAATGTTGTAAATAAATAAATCCGTAAAGAATTCCTCCCTTATTTATAACAAGAAGACACTAGCGTAAGATCCCCTCAGTACTGATGAGCTATTTACAAAAATCTTACAAATTATACCATAAGACCTTCATACAGCCAAGTCCCCCCTCAATTACAAAACAAAAGTCCGGATCCGCGGGTACGACTCTGACTTAGGCTCGGTCGAGGAGGGGGGGTCTGGGAATGCGGGAAAGGGGGGGGGGATGGTCGGGACGTAGGATGCGGAAGACGGAATCGATGTTGGCATTGTCTTAGTGCTGACGCCGCAGGAATGTCTGATGAGCCTCTCTCGCGCCCGGAGTTTGCTGAATCCCGTGTGGGGAGAAATTGTACTCGGAATGGCCTATTTTCTGGTTTTATGGCATAGGTTTGGATTTGAAGATTTGGAGGTGGCGGGGAGTTGAGGGTTTTTTCCGCCTCTCTTTTCCTCAGTCCAGTGTATGTTCTCACTTTTCTTTTAGTGTTTACTGTGAAGATAAATCCCTTCATCCTGTAATGTTCTACAAAATAAAACGAAAATATTTAAGCAGCACGAGAGGTGAAAGGAAGTAAGATAGAAGAAGAAGTAAAGAAAAAAGGAAGACGGGCGTTTGGTCATCATAAAACTGTGCATGGAAAAGACCCTCAAAGTTTCCTCGTCAAGATGAGCGCCTCTATTGGTAATATAGGGAACCTTATAGCAGTATGACTCTTGGATCCCCCAAGTGATGGTGATAGAGTTGGTGGGACTCACTCCTCTCTCTCCTGCCACTATAGGGGATTGGAACCTATCGCGGACTGTTGTTCCGGAAGGAAGGAGGGAGGTGTGTGTGTTTCCTTGGAGTGGGCTAATGTGGGTGGCGGGGTATCCAAGGACATACTCTACTGTAGTAAGTCTGATACAGGATACATTTATGTAGAACGGTACATAACCATACACATAGATACATTCCTTATACGCACGCACGCACCCAAAGAATACCCCCCCCCACATACACACACACACACACACATACATACATACACCACAGACCCTCTCCTCCAACTCACAACCAACCAAACACACACACAATTAGGTATATATACACGAGCAAGCACAGAATACCTGTCTTCAACCACACACACACACACACACACACACACACACACACACACACACACACACACACACACACACACACACACACACACACACACACACACCAAGAACCTTCACTAAAAATCAACCCGGAAACAGCATTGAGGCGGCGATTTTTTTTAGGCACAAATGACTGAAGGTTTGATTGATGATCTCATACGACCCCTCCTCCTCCCGCACCTCCCATCATCCTCCCCACCACTCCTGCACCTCCTCCTCCTCCCTCCAGGACCCCTCCTCCCTCCTGCACCTCCCTTCCTCTCCCGCTCCCTGCGCTCTTTACCTTTCCATCCCTCCTTAATCAGCCTTCATCATTCTTGCCCTTCACCCCCACCTCCTTCCCCTCTCACTCCTTGTCCTCCTCGACTATTCTTCCCATCCTTTAGGCTCAAACCGAAAATCTCCTTCATGCGCGCACACACACACACACACTCACACACGCACACACACCTCAAAAAGCCAGAATGTAATAACGAAATGTTTTAAATTTAGAAGAAAAATGTATCTTGAAATGCTTTAATCACTGAAAATATTGTTGTCTTAAACAACCTTGTTTTCTGAATAATATTTTCCCTTCATTTGCTTTAGTTTCATTCCTCTCTAAACCTTAGGAAATTACAGTACTGATACAGGTAGCAATACGAGTACAGGTACAGATAGAGGTAAATAAAAGGTCAAGTACAGGGACAGAGATTTAAATAACAATCATTAATATAAAAGTATTATTATAATGCATTTTCCGCTTCATTAAAGGGAAGTGAATGTTCTAAGCGAGATTGGAAGAATCCCTTGGTAATGAGACCATTCCGAGAGCTGGTACTTGTAGCCAATCAGCGTCACACGCTCTGACGCGTCAGTTCTCGTCCAATCAGCGCCTCCCTAGATACTGTTAATGTTCTCTTGAATAATCAACTCTCACCCAATGAATAAGCTTCCCGCCACTAAATCTCTCTCTTGAATCTTTACCTCTTAGCCAGTGAACAAGCTTCTCGTCTCTTAACTCTCTCCTCTTGAATTTTCAGCTCCAATTAGCACACGTCTCGCCTCAACCGAGTGATCAGCTCCTAGCCAGTCAGTTTGTTTCCCTCCATCACTACTGCCCTCTTGAGTCTTAAGCTTCCAGCCAATCATCGCTTTCCCCCAGTAGTGCCATTGTCATTCTCCCAGCCAATAAGCGCGTCCCTCGCCACTTCTCTTGTCCACTTGATGGTCTTGGAGCGTAGATCACTGAAGCGATATATACGAGCCTTGAACGCTGCCCTGTATGACTCTCAGATGGTAAACAGTATTAACAGATGCTTGATTTGTTACTACAGTAGAGCACATCCTTGTGGATTACCTCGTAGGATCACGTCCTCCTGAGCACGTCCTCCTGGAGCACGTCCTCCTGAGCACGTCCTCCTGGAGCACGTCCTCCTGGAGCACGTCCTCCTGGAGCACGTCCTTCTGGAGCACGTCCTTCTGGAGCACGTCCTCCTGGAGCACGTCCTCCTGGAGCACGTCCTCCTGGATCACGTCCTCCTGGAGCACGTCCTCCTGGAGCACGTCCTCTGGAGCACGTCCTCCTGGATCACGTCCTCCTGGAGCACGTCCTCCTGGAGCACGTCCTCCTGGAGCACGTCTTCTTGGAACACGTCCTCCTGGAGCAGGTGACCCTCGAGGTCGTGGCCCTGTCACTTGAGTTCCAGGGGGTGCCACTTGCAGCTCTACCTTCCTTTTGTTGGCAGGTTTTGTTCTGGTGGTGTGTGAGGCCCGCCGCTCCCTTTGTACACTCACTTCTTTTCTTTCTCTCTCCCTCTCCTTTTCTCTTTTCTCTCTCTCCTACAGCCTCACATTGCCTTTTATCTCTATATTTTTCCTTTGCCTTCATGTGAACGCAACCAGTGTTTAATTTCTCTCGTAAAGTCGCTTTGTACCTTTCAATTTAAATTTCAGTAAATTAATTTGCGTCATGATGCTCAGGGATATTTAGTTTCATGTCTAAGACTTATATATTCCATAATAAACTGAACCTTGTGCATTTAATTATGAGTTATTCTTCTCAGTATTTTGTACTAAATATTCGGACGTCCTTTGACTGCAAGTTTACGTGTTGGCTCCTGGTCTTATGTGTAATAATGGCCGTGTGATTATGGTGTGCTTGAGCAGGAAATAACATTAAGAGCACAGGGCAAAAGGCATTGTGATGTACGTTTTCCTTTTTATTTTATCTTTGAAGTACGATAGTATAAGTTTGTAGTTAAGAGACAAACACAAATATTAATAGTTTCTTTTGACTCCACAGGTTATGTGGCCGACGGGCGCGGCTACAGCCCCCCAGGACCTGTGGCTCTGCCTCTCACGCCCTCACCCGACGCCCATGGACGCGCCCTCACACCTACGGAGAGCCTGAGTGGGCTGTCACCCGGAGGGTTGGTGTCCCTGGCGCCCCTGTGTCCACAGTACGACGCCCGACAAGAGCCTCTAGAGGAGCCCATCAACCTGACGACGCGGCCCCCGGCCCTCTACGACCGTCCGCCAGAGGACCTCAGTACGGCCCATGCTATTCTCGACCTGTCGACCGCCCGCGTGGCCGAGTACTCCCCGCCCCACACGCCGCCCTCACCTCACACCCACGAGTACCACCCCCTACCTCACCCTCACCCGTCACCGCAGCCCGCCCCTCCACCCTACCATCTCCACAGCGGCGACAACAACAGCAGCCTGGAGCGACAGACGGAACACAACCCCAATAAGCCCTGCACGGTCGCCTACACCTACGAAGCGTTCTTCGTCAGTGATGGAAGATCGAAGCGGCGAGGAAGCGAGGGAACGGAAAAACCGCGGTATACGTGCTCGGAGTGCGGGAAGCACTACGCCACCTCCTCTAACCTGTCGCGGCACAAGCAGACGCATCGCGACTTGGACTCTGGCAATGCGCGTCGCTGCCATGTGTGCGGGAAGGCGTACGTCAGCATGCCGGCACTTGCCATGCACGTGCTGACGCATAATTTGACGCACCGGTGCGGCGTCTGTGGCAAGGCCTTTTCCCGCCCCTGGTTATTACAAGGACACATGCGCTCCCACACCGGAGAGAAGCCCTTTGGATGTGCCCACTGCGGCAAGTCCTTCGCTGACCGATCCAATCTGCGCGCGCATATGCAGACACACTCTCAGCTCAAGAACTTCAGGTGTAAACGCTGCAACAAGTCCTTCGCTCTCAAGTCGTACCTCAACAAGCACTACGAGTCTGCGTGTTTCAAGGACATGCCTCTGCCTTCCTCGTCCCCAGACCCGCTTGAGATGGACACCACTTAGCTGTGCCCTCCAGGTTACCGCCTGAACCGTACAAACCCACCGTCCCGACCCACGCCCACGCCCGCCGCCCAATAACCTACGCCCACGCGGCCCCACTGGAGGGTGTCGCGGGGGCCCAGGTTCCCCCATCCAGCCAGGGGACGACCCAGAGGTGGGCTCGAGCACACAGCGTCTCAAGTTACCGTCACAGACACTCAGACGGCACCCACTCCCGTCACAAGCTTCTAAACGTCACAAATTTCCAGCATGTGGCTCTGGGACGTCACAAACTCGCGTCGCAGAGCCCTTAAGACCTCCCGACGGGGCGACATCGTCTTGGTCGTGCTGGGAGGAAGAACTCTCAGGTCTGATACACAAAGTTGGCGGCGCCGTCGCGTCGCTGGACATGATCAAAACATTGCTGTTATATTTGATATTGTTGACATCTTTATTCGACAGTCCAAAGTTGAGGGGATAAAGGTGTATGTTTTTCAGATTCTCTCTTAAGATCAAAAAACATTGTGTAAATTTGTGAGGACAGGGCGAGTAGGGGTTCCCAGAGGCACACACTTCACACCTCCGGGAGCTGCCCACTTTTCAAACGCTCTGGCCACCGGGTTTTGCGAAGCTCCCCTGACGTCACAGTAACTCTTAGTGTAGGATGAATGAAAATATTTATTGCCTATTTATTGTTAATATTACGGTTATTTTTGCGTTTCCAGCCACCCTGTTTGATGATATTTTAAAGGGTGTCATGTTTCGTAAACAACGAATATAGTCAACGACCAAAGGGTCCTATAATTCCTGCATGTAAATAACTTTGTATAGACTACTGAATCTCTTTTAACTCCTTACGTACGTACTCATCAAGACATTCCATACCAGACATTCCACTGAGATGCACTTGGAGTTAACAAGTGTTTTATTAGTCTCGTAGGGTAGGTTAAGATGATCCAATTCTATTATGATATTGCATAGTGATAAGTATTTTTTCGAATCTACATAAACAAGCCAAATAATAGACTATATTTGATCATAGCCTTAGAGCGCTTTCGAAGAGTCTTTCTAAAAGGTTAAGTTTCATTTGGATTATTTCGGCGTGAGGTGTGAGGGCGGCCGCCAGACGGTATGGAAGACACGGCACCACCAAGGGAATATTGACCTAGATGATTATTGTTGTCGAGATCAAAATGAGTTGTTGTCTTTGTTGGTGATGCTATTACACCGATAGTATCATTAGTCATAAGACATTATCATAATTTTTCAAATCTAAGTCATTTTAATTAAGATTAATAATGTAATAATTCATATGTTTATGTATGTATATATATATATATATTAATGTGTACCCAAAATCCCAGACTTGATTTACGTAACATTATTTTTTTTTCGTATGAGAGAAATCAAAAGGTGAATGAGCGAGCCAGGGAGTCACACCAGGACTCAGGCGTTCAGTATTACTCTAGTCACCTCCCTTGATGATGGGTGACCCGTGTCGTGTCTTCGTGTTCCCTCAAGTCTCAGTCCCACTCCTCCGCCATTTTGAGTGTGCTCTAGTCGAGTCGCCCGCGGCACATACTTAAATAGCAAATACTTATACTTAACTCTAGTGATAAGTAGTTTTAAGATGGAGTCCGGTACTTGGCGATCCTGATGACGCCGGTGATTATGAGATTAATGATAGTTACGAGGGTGGTGTCTTAACGCCTTAAATCCATGGTTTCCAATTAGTGGTTTTGGGTTTCGAATTTCTGGTCGGGGTTTCTTAGTTATGGGGATCTGAGGTTTCCAATTGCTATTTTGAGATTTCGTATTGGAATTTCATAGATTCAAATGGGGTTTCATGAATTCAAACTGATGATTCATGGTTTCGAATTGGGTTTCAATATTTGGAATTAAGGGATGGGATGGGGTGGAGGGGGGGGGGGTTCTCACAATATACAACTGCTGTTAAGTCCATACAGCATTTCGAGCCGGTGACACAGTACCTTAATAAAGCAATACACTATACAGTACACGTAATATATATCTGATTAAACGAAACTTCAGCCACAAAACCTTTCTTAGAGAAGCCAAGACAGCGCTGGAAGGACAATTACAGGTGTGCTGCCTAATATACTACACAGGTGTGGAGGAACCGCAGCGAACCCACACACACCCACCCACATCCCACACAAACACCTACAGACACACCACTCCCACTGACTTAAAAAGACCCACTTAATCTCCCACCCGTCTCCTCCCCACCTCCCCCTAACCCACCCGGTCTGTAATGGCTATTTCATATCTCCGCCATCCTCAGTGAGAGATCAGCGTGATACCTTAATAGGCTCATTAAACTCTGACAAGATGTATATGACAATTACCAGCCTGTCGGGTCCCAGGCTCCCACACACACACCACCGCCCCGCCCCCACCTGCTGATGTGTAGCCTCCCAGTCTTAACAGATGTGTGTGTGTGTGTGTGAGCGTCCACCTTATCACAAAGAGCACCACCACCACGACTATTAATATCAATACTACCATCACCATTTCCACTATTACTACCACTACTACCATCACCACCACTACTACCACCACCATTACCTCCAACATCACTATTCCCTCCACCACCATTACCACCAACCAACACCACTTTCAGTACCAGCACCACCAATCCTCTGCACACCTGCCACACTACTTCAGGTCCCCAACAGTAGTGAGTCATCCTCTTAATCCAAAAACTAAACGACTAAAATACCCTGACGTCTATAACAGAATCATTAACTGATCTATAGGGAAAAATATATACAAAATCCAGGTCCTGACGAAGAAGGAAAAGATCTTCTTCAGGTTTTGGGGAAAGATGAGGGAAAAAATATAACCAGGTCCAGAGGCAGGGAAAAAATATTCTAATGAGTCGGTTAGTCTTAATAAAGTTATCCAAGGCAGTAATACCCCGATGCTCTTGGTCCATTTATCACCTGTGTGTGTACTCTCTCTCTCTCTCTCTCACATCCCCCCCTTACGCCATCGCCTCTCACCCTCCTCCACTCCCCCTCGCCCTCCTCCACTCCCCTCGCCCTCCTCCACTCCCCCTCGCCCTCCTCCACTGCCCTCTCCACTCCCCCGCCCACCACCACCCCCCTGCCCTCTCCACCCCCCTCCCTCCTGCTCGCTCCCCCCTCCTGCCTGCCCTCCTCACTCCGCCTCGCCCTCCTCCACCCCGCCTCCCTCCTCCACTCCCCTCCCTCCTCCACCCTCTCCTCACCCTCGCCCTCCTCCACTCCCCCTGCCTGCCCTCCTCCACTCCCCCTCCCTCCCCCTCCTCCACTTCCCCAAACCACCCACCCCACTCCCTCACCCTCGCGGGACGTGGTAAAGGTTGCAGGCGAGCCTGGCTAAATATTCCATCCTGAGAGACCTGTTGGGGAAGACCTCAATCCCCCAACACCCACCCCGCCCACCCACCCACCCCGCCCTTAGTTAAAAATGTCACGCTGGTATTTAGAGGTTGTGGCGTCGTCTGTTTGCTCTTAGAGGCGCCGCAACTGGTATTTCTTCTTCCTCCTCCTCCTCCTCCTTCACCTCCTCTTCTTCCTCTTGTCAAGCTATAAAAGTTTAAGGTGCTGGATAGCGAGTCAGGTTTATCGTCAGTCATGCTGTACCTCACAACCCTCCCCTCACCCACACCCCACCCCACCCCGCCCCGCCCCGCCCTAACGCCCACCACCACCACCCAGACGGAGGAAAAATGTCACGGTGGTATTTGGGGTCCAATGCTGGTGAGGTCTTCCTCCTGCTGCACACACACGCATGCACGCACACACACTCTAACCTTAATGTTACACTCAACTATTTTCTTCTGTCTCTTCCTCCTTCTCTCCTCTCCATCTCTCCCTCCTCCCGTCTTCTTTTCCGCCCTGTTTCTTCCTTCCCTCCTTCCCTTCCTCGCCCTTAAACCGTGATTAATGAAGCTAAATTACCGCCGTCACATAATCATATTTCCGTCTTGTTTAAAGTAATAAATCTCTCCGTCTTATCACCTCCCACGAGACGAAAGAGAAAAGTTTTAAACACGTAATATAGTACACCAGGCGGGCGGCACACACAACCCTGCGGCACACACCACTAGCGGCAGACCACCCTACAGCACACACCAGCGGCACACACCACTGCAGCACACACCACTAGCGGCAGACCACCTGCGGCACACACAACCCTGCACACACCACTAGCGGCAGACCACCCTGCGGCACACACCACCCCTGCGGCACACTACATCTCTGGCACTCAAGCGGCACATTACACCAGTGGCACACACACACACACACACACACACACACACACACACACACACACACACACAACATTTCACATTCTTCTTACTAGTACTGAGGAATAACCCCCCTATTCCCCCCCACACAGTCTCCGGCGAGTGATTTCTTAAGAGATATAAATTTTTCATTTCCCCTCACCACAAAGGAGTGCTTTCTCATCCCCGCCGCCATAATAGGAGATATAAATGAAAAGTAATCACCTGGTAGCGGCCACACCCACCTTATCATAGCGCCAACCACTCCCCTACCACCACCACCTCTACCATCCCCTACCACCACCACCACTTCCCAAACGCTGCCATCAACCTTGTTTTTTCCCTATAGTTTCCTCATTCACATTTACTGATTTAAAAAGTCAAATTTTTTCTATTAACCTGAAGTTTAATTAATAGTAACCACATATTACGGTAACAACTGGATAATTTATATCCAGGTGATAAACTCAATACAGGTGTGTGGTTCTGGCAACAGTGGGAGTGATAGCAACAGGTCTGCACTTTAACTTCTGGGCTGATGAAAACTTTCCGACTTTTTAGCATAATGGAGGATGAATATTTTGAGGGGAAATTATTGTTATGGTCACTACGTCTGCTAAGAATACCAGCACTAAGATGATGATGATAAGGGTAAAAAAAAAATCATATGTAAACAACCATGGATTTTTGGTCGGACATAAAAGATATTTTTGTCTCGTACTGTACATAGCTAAAATACCAAAGAGTTCTCTAAGAATTAATAAAAGACATTTACTTTCAACTTTTAAAGAAGATCTGAAAGGCTCTTATCCTTACCTTTAAATCCCCTTTGGATAAGTCGTGTTTGGGTAGCCCCGAACTTGCTCCTCCTGGGACAAGAGCCCTTCAGGTACGGTTATGGTCTGTACGTATCATAGTGTAGTGTCAGGTTTCATGCTCTTTATAGTCAATAGTCGGACTTTTTTGTCGAATCGACAAGGAAGCTTCCTGACCTTGAAACCAAAGCAATATAACTTAGGTAACCATTTATATAACATGTTTAGTCAAGTCTAGGTTAAGTTAGTCTCATTATGCAGTAGATATATAAGCGATCAGTAGCTAAACCAAAGCCATGTGTAAATTGAACTGTTGCAAACGGTATTAACTAAGCAGTATGCAATAATAACTTGTAAAAAAGCACTAACCAAAGCAATATGTAATAACACTTGTTGCACACCCTTGTAAACGGCACAGATCAAAGCAATATGCAGTAATGAGTATTGCAAAATAACATTATTGAGCAATATGCAATAATAACAAACCAATAGCAATAATACCAAAGTAATATGCAATAATACTTGCTGCAGAATGATGCAACTATACTTGTTGCAGAATGATGCAACCCAAGCAATAACAACTTTTCGTTTCAACACTGTAAATTTCAGTAACATTAAGAGTGATATGTCACAGTCTTTCGTCTAACTTGGTAACAACGAGAGCAATAACGTCGACCTTATTAACCCAGCAAGAATATTACCAGCCAATGGTAATAACGACGACCCTTCTCACTCTCAAACAACGAAATTCTCTAACCTTACTCAAGAACTTTACAAACAATCTAGTCGCCTTTGCACCGCTTAAAGAGAAACTATAACGCAGTATTGTAGATATGTAACCTTACTAAGTTTAAACCTAATCATACCATCACGGCCAATATGCAATAATAGATAAAACCCTCGACTCCCTCTACAGTACAGATCCTCTTGTATAAAAATAATTAGTCTCAGAAGGCGTACATTCCCCAAGTATTATAGAAGATGGGAGTGTAAGCCTTATAAATACAGCACATTTAATAAGGGTCGAAACTGTGGTTTGAGTCGTGACTTCTGGACTCGGCCGGGGGGCACCACCTCCACACAGCCCCATCCACCCATCACATATATCACCACAAACCAGACGGACCCTGTATTACTTTACGCTCTATTATCAGAGTGAGTGAGGTGGACGTCTTGTGTGTGAACCTTAGTAGTCTCAAGTGATGGTGGTGGAGGGGGGTCTCAAGAGGGGGGGGTCTCGTGGCCGGGTCTTGAGGGCTAGTGTGAGTGTGTCAACAAGAAGCGAAGGATGGGTCATGTACTGGGAGCTTCCTGTATCGCCATTAAGTTTTGTCTTAGAATTATTTTACAGGTTTATGAGAGATGATTTTGTTCGTGCGTCTCGTCGATAAATGTTTGGTGATTATTTTTAAATAAATACTGACTAAATACCTAACTTTTGAATACAATTTAAATAAAGATCAAAATGTTATAATTGAAAAAAAATATGCAGTTTTCATTGAAAGTATCAATAACTGACATTTTTATTATGTTACTGTATATAATTTAAATAAAAATAAAATAAAATAATAATAATAATCTTGAATAAACAGAAGGAAACTCCCCGTCATGATATCCGGAAGCAACTATTTAATAACTAATTCATTAATACTAAGCAATAAGCTAGCAATATTCAGCATTATGTAGCAATAAAGTGCAATACGCCCCCACGTAGCTCAAGCACCATGAAGTAATTAGGGGTATTCTAGGAGGTGACTCTGGTCATCTGGTTTGATGTGCACCTGAGTTTATTAATTAATTAATTTATTTACTTATCAACATAATCTTAGTATTTCTTGGTCTTATGTGTCCCATATATATATTCTCTTTCATCTGAATATCCAGTTTTACTCTGCAGATATTTAAAATTTTATGTCTTTGCAAAGTACTGTTGTGTATTTCTGATCTGAGGGAAGGTAAAAATAATGTGTAATAATTTATTTTTTAGTATTATAATCTTTTCTAGTCATGTTGTTTGAATGTGATAATCATTAAGTAAGTTTTGTACTGTATTATTTGGTTCTGCTGTCAGTGTAATAATTATGTTCACTACAGCTGTGTCAACGTGGACATAAAAAAGTAAGAGTTACTTTCCATAGTGACCTCCCGGAATATGACTGTTAGTAAGAAGCAAAGTCTGAAGGAGAAGAAATAATAAAAACAAAAAATAACAAATAAACAAGAAAAATACAAAAACAAGAAGAGATAATTATATAGAATCTCAATCTTAAAAAAAAAATACTGATCGATCCTTCTACTGTGGTGTAACAAGACTACTACTACCCCTCAGCCGATGCTCTAGAGACGCTTGTGCTGTATATTAACAAAGCTTTAAGACAGAGCTACGCGGCGCTTCTAGTCAGTTATGATAGAACACTTAGTAACACCCTCAGTCGAGCCTTACAA